CACAAAATCACACAAAATGTGTATTGGATGTATTCTTGAGTCTATAAGGTAACAATAATATAATAAGATAACCTTGTTTGAAATGGGTTTGGCTAAAAAAAAAATTTTGGTTTCGTCTATACTACTAGGTACTTATACTATATTGACTGGGTTAAATAGAATTGCATTACTAAAAAGAAACTAAAATACAATTTTGATTGACTAAGACTAGACTAAATGTCATCAGTTTTCGTCAACTAAAATGCTCAGACTTTTAGTTGACTGAAACTTGACTAGACTAAAAAGAGTATGAACGTGACTAAAACTAATAAATACTAAAATGACAGCTTCACACAAAGACCTGACTAAAACTAAAATTAAAACAGGCTGCAAAAAACAACTGTACTGACATCTCCGATGAGCTCAACAACTCGTGGTGCAGAGATATCATCATTGATGAGGGTTTGGTACAGCATGGTCTTCTTCATCTTCTTCTTCACAGCTACAAACTTCTGTGTCACAGCATCCAAAGTCAATTTCTCTGACAGGACAGGAAACAGCTTGTTTGTACACTACTACTTGAAGCACAAGTCTCCCCCTTGAAACTTGGCAGAGTGAGATAACCCAGAGGCGTACCACTAAAGTACAATAAAAAAATGTAATTACAATTTTGGTGGTGATAATCTTTACAACAGCACTTATCAAGATACAAAGTGCAGCCTGTTTCAAAAATGCCAAAATAGAGCTGTCTGAATACACCAAGACCTCCTGTCTCAACAGACCAGGCGCCGCCAATGCACAAAAGATGAAAATGAAGATTGGAAATAGAAGATAGGGGCAGGGCTGCTGTGACAACAGATAATAATAAAATGACACTTTGTTAGGATTGGATTTCAGGAGTTAAAGTTATTTTTCTACTTATCATCAGTATTATTTTGCTTTTATAATGAAAAAGTTCAGTATAACTATTTGTCTGTGTTTCATTAACAGCTCCATGTATCAGTATTAACCAGCTGTTATGCATGCATCATAGTCATAATATTCAGCTTTGAGTCAACTAGTAGTATTTCTTGTCTTCTTGGTGAAATGTGCATAAATTGATTGCAGAGATAAGTGTCATCCTGGAAACCATTTTCACTTTCACTTGTGTTGTTTGGCATGCAGTGTGGACAGCAAAGTAAGAATTTCATTGTACAGGGAAACACGTTTCCTCACTGTACATATAACAATAAAGGTGCCAGGTCTCACCGAGTAGTGGAAACATCACTCCCTTTCAAGTATATGAGTTCATCTGTGCAGATTCTCAGAAATTCAAAAATATGAGTTCATATTTGTATGAACCTTTGCGTCTTCCCCCACATAACCACATATACTGTACAGTAGTGAAATTAATGCTAACAGGTAGGGTAACACCAACAATAACATTATGGGTTGTTAATCCGCTCATTAACCAGCAACACATCACATGCAGATCATGTCATAGAGCCCAGCGCTGTAATTACTCTGCATTTAACCAGAAGGAAATAAATCTACGTAAAGCTGATTTGCCACGGGGTGCTTCACTGGTGGCTGCTTGGAAGTTAGTCAGGAAAAATGACAGGTCCCTGTGCAGGAACATTCCTGGACATGCAGTATATTATAGCAATAGCAATAATACCCATTCAACATGACACCATGGCCATGTTTTTGAAAGTGAGAGAGAAAGACAGAGAGGGGGAGATTTGACAGACCACCAGATATCCAGGACAGAAATAAAATCGTTGTGGCATGGCAGCCATCTAAAAAGAAACAACCACATTATAGAAAAAAAGGAAAAGCCACATACCTACTGTAAGACTTTATATTGTTAGAAAAAAAGTGTTGTGAGCAAGAGTTTGCGAGACATATAAATCGAGTTACTTCTGCATAGAAATGCTAGAACATAGGTACACCTAATTCCCCAGAGCTGTGACATCAATCACCCCCCTAACTCACACACACACAACCTCCCCCCTATAGACAGCCATGTTGGACAGTGGAAATAGAAAAAATTGTTGTGGCACAGTGTCCATCTGAAAAGCACAAACAGGTTAGGAAAAAAGAAAACCCACATACCTTTCATAGATCTCCGTTGTCAAAATTCTTCAAATGGCCGGACAGACTGATGATGTGGGAGTGCAATATAGAGCAAGTGATATAGACTGAATGGTATGGCAGATAACCAAAGACCATGACAATGTTATACAAACAGATGGCTATATTCGATGGACAATCAACCAGTAAGGTATTTTAGGAACCACGTTGGACTAATGGGTAGCTATGTTACAGGGACATGAATTTAACTGTTGCACTGCTGCCATACTGGGCATATTATACACAACAGACTGATTCAGAAAGAGAGAAAGAGATGGCAGACTTGCCACGGGCTCCTTAACGAAGTGGACAGAAGTGGATACCTGATATCTATAGTTGCTTTCGTCAACGAAAAATATGACTAAATATCATCGTAAACGAACCTTTATCACATGAAGAAAATGAGACGAGACGCAACGTAAATGCTGGTCATGTGATGATCACTATAATTAAATGTATAATGCAATACTGTTAACAAAGAATTAAACACTCAAGCTTAAACAGAAATAACCATGGCACGGCAGCTATAACAGACACAACCAAAGATGTCACAGTAAGCTCAGGACTTGTGGCACAGCGACTATGGCAAGAACTGTTTAATGCACAGACTGAAAGAGAGAAATAAGAGCAAGAGAGGAGAGAGAGAGGGTGGAGGGGGAGAGAGAAAGTGGCACAGCAGCCAAGTGGAACCTCAAAAAAAAGAAAAAGAAAAAATATATAATTAGTTTGAGTCAACTATATAGGCCACATGTATCACAATGTTCAGCTCTCCAAGTACAGCCGGGGTTTGTCTTTGGGAGAAAAAGAAGAAACGACATTTGGAAAAACTTTCATTACATAGAAGTGGAAAAGAAAACTGAATGTGTTGTGGAAAAAGATGGGGAGAAATGCGGGCACAAAATCACACAAAATGTGTATTGGATGTATTCTTGAGTCTATAAGGTAACAATAATATAATAAGATAACCTTGTTTGAAATGGGTTTGGCTAAAAAAAAATTTTGGTTTCGTCTATACTACTAGGTACTTATACTATATTGACTGAGTTAAATAGAATTGCATTACTAAAAAGAGACTAAAATACAACTTTCATTGGGTGAAGCGCACAGCTAAGGCACATTTCACTAATCACTTTCCTTCCTCATTTAAACCCCTAGCAGATTATCCTTCGTCGCCAGAGCATTACATGTGTTTGCGTTATACGTCTGATTTTCAACAGCTCCTGTGCTTTGATTTCTTTGTACATTGTTTATATGTGTTTAGCCATACATAACTTGATTTCAACGCTGACAGTTCCTGTGCTGTTGATTTCTTTTTTTTTCTTGTTTGCTACTCTGCTTCCCTGATGGCGTTCGCTAATCCCCCTGGTTACTGTCTACTCACCTGCCCGTCCTGGTCCTCTAACTCTCCTGGTTCCTGCCATTATTCTGTCTACTCACCTGCTCGTCCTGGTCCCCTCAGCCATCACCGCCCGTCCCTGGTTATGAGCTATACATAGACTCAGTTACTTTGTTTGCGTTTCTCAAAATACCACTTTTTTTCCACTAGCCCCTGGGTCTGCATCTTGAGTCCTCCCTTTTGTTCTCCCTCACCTCCTGGTGAGGGGACTCAATCGTTAGTGATGTCCAATTGACACCATGACACCTGTATCGAACCACTTCATCATTTGTATCAAGTATTGGTTCATTAAATCAAAGGTTGGGTTTAGTGCCATCTGGTGGCGAAATAGTATGCAGCAGAACAATGTCTGAATTATGTAATGGGTGTAACTAGGCTTGGTGTGAATGATGTAAAAACGTTTGTAAAGATTGATTGGTCAGTCGGTCGAGTCTATGAACGTATGTAGTATAGTAGGCAGGAGAAGGCGTGCTTGGGGAAACAGAGGATGTGCTAGGATGGTAATATGTGTGTATGTAACTAGGACAGGGTGTGAAAAAATACAAGGGATGGAGAATCAATAATTTTTACTCCTAGCTGGCTCCATGGTGATCACACACCAGCAGCAACAATCATATTGACAGCAACTATGCACACACCTACTACGCCAACAAACCCACATGCTGCGCATCATCTTGGGTGGCTTTATAGTACCCCTATGCCTACGCACCTGCTGACGCGCGCAGCCAGATCTCAAGTCGTGACACCGTATCGATGGTCTGAACTGGTCACGGGAGTCAGTCAGGCCAGCCGTTTCTGCGTCGGATGTCATCAGTCACGTGTCTTTTCGGCAACGATACAAGCCTCGAGGCAGTGGTTCGCGGGAGATCCCTCTCTGAGCTCGAATCATGTATCGAGACCTCAGTGTCAGATGGCCATCACTATCAACCATAACAAAGATAAGAAATATGCTAAACAGCATCTTGTACCCTTCTTCTCAGTACAGAAATTCTATCGTACAATTCTTTTCAAAGGAAACTGCTTGTTACAAATAAAATATTTAAATGTTCCTATCCCTCCCAAAGCCAAAGAACTTCATTTTAACATCTTAAATGGAATATATCCGTCCAGTGCTTTGTTGAGACACTGATTTGGCATTGAATCCAATAACTGTGTATTTTGTTATGGAGATGAAAATGCAGAGCATCTTTTTTTCCCAATGTATGTATGTGAAGATCTTTTGGCATGAGGTTTTTGTATATTTTTGTAATGACTTCACCCATAAAAACATTATATTTGGTCTCTCGATGGACAATGCCAATGCTGACTTTCCGATCAACAATATCATTATTATTGTGAAATTCTACATACATAGATCAAAGTATATGAAAATAGTACCTCGTTTCTGTGTATTTCACAATGAGTTTCATGCCAGGGGCCGTTCTCATCCACACTCCAGTCTAGAAGGGGGCAGTAATGCACCTAAAGCTGTTTTAGCTGCCGCCAATAAACAACAGAAGAAGAAGAAGGAGGAAGAAAGAAAGAAATATATTTATGCTGAAAATGCGTCAATTTTTACCTGCAGTGGCTGAACAACTGTTCCGAGATATTCAGAAATCGTACCAGGAAACGTCTCAAAGTAAGACGATAGTGTTAAAGACCGAGAAATGTGACAGCTGGCTTGTTTTAATGTACAAGTAGCACTGCTAGCTCACAGCTGATTAAAGCTAACTTTCCGGTCAGACGTGGTGTTAAATTAATCCTTTATCAGGAATTAATTGTTAACCTCTCTTTTCCATGGATGAGACGCAGTTGTCGCAGCTCCAAAGTGATGTTAATGGTGCTCTTGGTGCATTTTATTTGACCTAACCTAATGTTGTTCCAGCCTTTACAACGATAAAGTAGTTTAACATGTATGCGTCGCTGTAGTAACACACTTCTGCCTGTGGACCACTCTCTTCTCTGGACACCGCACATCTGTCACTGGACCAACATAGTAGGGATATACGCCAGAAAGCATAAGCCTTTGTTCACAGCAGCTGGTAAAGGAGAGGTGTCATTAATAACTTTAATAATGGCTCCTCTATGTAGGTCTTTCACTGGCAAAGTCTTGTGATGTAACGTTAGATCTTTTTCACAGCAGACATGTAATTGTAGGAAGTTTAACACAAAACTAATAAAAGTGGACGCAGACCATCCACAGAGGCCCAGACTGACTTCAAATCATGTGCTCATTCAGTCAGTGAATGTTGCAAATAGAAATGTAGGAGGGGTAGGGGCAACATGTCTGTGCCTGGGGTACCGTTGTCATAATCTGTCCCTGGTTAAGTTCTACTCAAGCATCCCAAGAGCCATGACCATGAAACAGAATTCAGCCTTCACAGTATTCTTTATTTTTGACCCCTTTGCTATGAAAAGGGCCTATGGTACATGCTGGCTCAGTGGAGGGCCTTACTGGGACGCACTAATAGAACAGATCCTTCATTTATTATATGAGATGCCGTGGAAAAGTAAGGCCTGTTGTATTATGGATATGTCCAACATGATAACATTGACACATTTGTGTTATACGTCCACCAATCTTCAGCGCAGTTACATTTGTTGGTATAGCACTAAAACCATACTCTTTCTTTTTTTCTGGTGAAATATAAATTTGTGATATTAATACAACTGTAGCATCATGAGAAAGGGGCATGTTTTTCAAGATAAACAGTGAAGAAATATATGGTGCGTTACTAACTAAGCACACAGACACCGAGAGCAGGGAGTTGTACCAACATCCTGAAGAAAACCTATAAACTTTGTGTATTTTATCCCCAAAGTGAAGAGCTCATTCCTATTTGTAGCATTTGCTCAGCAGCTCTTCTTTTTTGCCATGTTATTGGAAACTGTCATTAGACTGTGACCTTCAGCTTTCCTGTCCACCCACCAGCCTATAGTTGCCTCACTAGAACATTAGTCAGAGCTGTTAGTCAGAAAGTAGTAGTACAGTTTAGCAATATCAGAAATGCCATATGCTTTAAAGACAAGTGATTAAAAGCAAAAGTGTGAGTTGTTTTTAATTACAAATTTCACTGGTCAGTGTGAAAGGAAAATAAACTTGTTAAATCAAGAAGTAAACTCGTATTCACTAAGGTAAAGCGCGGATTCTACTTCTAACTTGTGTGCAATTGATCATTAAAGTGTCATCAATAAATCTGTGGAATTGTTTTTATTTACATGCATTGAATACAACTTTTTTTTTACAGTTCCTGATGACCTTCTTATTCCGTAAGTGTCAAGTGTCTTATTCTCTTTATTTTACATTAACTCATTCACAGATGTTTATTAGTAATTGTGACATCAGTGACATTATTTTGATGCCATAAAACTTTTGAGTGTAATAATATCCATAAGTCATCCTTGCCTGTCTGTGTTATAATTAAGTAAAAAGCTCTGCCTGTGACTGGATCTGAGTGGGTGTGGAGTGCAGAAACCACACTGGATGATGAGGGAGGTATTGTTACAGTCTGGCTTTGCCAAAGTGATGTAGCACTGAGAAACAGTGATGCTGTGCTGTGTCTTTACTGAAACATTTCCTGGCTTGTGGTCTGAGAGTGGAGGGATATTCCATGTCTAGGTCAGCACAGCCACATCCTGTCTGCTTGTCAAGGAGCTTATGGTTTAGGGGCGCTACATCACACTCTGTGGTAATTCACATGCAGACATCTTTCCATTTTTATATTTACTGTGGGTTCAGAAACCCTTTCAAGTTTTCCACATTTTGTTACATTTCAGACTCATCTTAAAATGAATTTAGTTCTTTTTTTACCATCAATCAGTATAGTACAGACCTAGTATAATCATTCAGTGTATAAACAATACTATGTATTATTGTAAATTAATTAAAAATAAAAAAAACTGAAAGGTCCCATGTACATACTGTAAGTATTTGGACCCTTTACTTAGTACTTGGTAAAAGCACCTTTGGCAGCAGTGACAGCCTCAAGGGTCCAAAAGGGTCTGAATACGTTTCGTATGCACTGTACTTTATCTCCCAGTTTCTGTCATTGTAGCCTCAAGGGCAGAAATCTATTCATTCACATTAATGACGGCAACCAAAACATAATTGAAAACTAGCAAAGTGAATGACATAAGTATATTTATATCACATTCTCACACACAGACACAACATATCCATCAGTCCTTGTGTGTTCTGAACTGGTAAAGAAAGTTTTAGCGGTTCCAAAATAAGGAAATCCATTAATATTCTGCACATAAGAGTAAAGTTAGTCCAGAAAAGGACAGAGACATGGCAGCCATTTTCTCATGTTTTTGGTTTTACTTTAAAACCATCATCAGGTGTAGACAGAGGTGACAAGGAAACAGTAGCTAATAAATACCAGATGCATCAGATAAGATGATGATGTTTATGCAGCATGTGAGATTAAACAACAAATCAGACACGAGAGTAACAGACATTTAGAACCTTTAGTGAAGGATAAAAGATTTACACAACGGTTATATCTTGAATTATTGGACCTATTTTTACGAGCATAGTTTTCACGTTTCTAAATACACAATGTTCATATTAAATAATTTAAGAATAGCTACAATTAAAGAATATTTTTGCCATCTGATGAATCAATTTTAAATATCAAATTTATGTATTAATCTCCTAAAGAACAAGAGCGTCACTCTAGATTCTTGGTTGGGTTGGGACTCAACAGTCATACAGGGAAATGTTCACTGTAAAACAAGCAGACATGCAGGTTCTTCTACCAACAGTAGCCATAAAAGGCAGCTCAACAGGGCTAACAAATGCTGTTTCTTTAATGAGAAGCTCCACCACAGTGTCACACACAAACTTCAAACTACTGTACTCAACACTGTCTATATAAACACCTTGTATAGCACTGTGCAAACGTCTTAGGTCACTGTTAGTTTTAGCTGTTTTAGCAAGGTTGTATTTATTTCTCAGTCTCTTTATTAAGATATAACCAGAAAATAGAGGAAATATGTAAACAACATTAAAAATGTAACATTTGGTTTCTATAGTCCAAAGTCAGTATTTTAAAGTGACCTCCCTTTGCACTTAGCACAGCTTGAATTCTTTTGGGGAGACTGTCTTGAAGCCATGACAGACCCTCCACCATGTTTCACTGAAGCCTGCAAGCACTCATTCTTCCTCCTTTGTCCAACTCTTCTCACATACTGTAGACGACTGGACCTGAACATGTCAGACTTGAACTCACTCCATAATCCTCTTTCCACTGATCTTCACTCCAAACTTTGTGAGCTTTATCATATCTCAGCCTTTTCTCCCTGTCCCCTTGAAAAAGTGGTTTCTTGGCTGTTGTTCTTCCACACAGGCCATTCCTGATCAAGCTTCTTCAGACTGTGGAAAGATCAACTTGCCATCCAGATGAAGCTGCCAGATGCTGAGCCAGGTCACTGCTGGATTTCCTCCAGTCTCTCACTGAAGAAACTCTGAGAAACTTCTCAACTGATTTTGACAGTTTTCTTGCTCTTCCACACCTGTTTTTGTCCCTGACCTCTCTGGACTCTTCAGATTTCTTTAGAACAGCTTGAACACCCAATCTTGAGTATCCAACTTGTTTATTTGTGTTTTTTAACACTATGTACTGATTTCCTATATTTTCTGGTTGTGTTCTGATAAATAAATATATATAGTCATCATAACACTGCTAAAACAACAAATCTAATGGCAGCCTAAGACTTTCCACAGTACTGTACAACGAGTTTAATCCTCATAACTTATTGTGTATGCAAACATTTAAACTAGACTAATGTATACTAATTTACAAAACATGTTGTAGTTGTATTTATGTCTTTCTCTTTTTTCTTCCTGTTTTCCAGTCTGAAGTTTGTCTTCGGGCCTTGTGCCTTGCAGGCTTTGGACCTTGTTGACCGGCACTCAGTCACCTGTCTGTCATCCCCCAGTGGACGCAAGGCCTTCCAGGTTTGTTATGTACCTGTCAACACACTGCCTGTAAAGTCAGTTGTCCTGTTTATGCAGTTAATGGTCTGCATCAAATTACTACCGCAGTATCTGCATTCCTCCGCAGCAAAACAGTCTTGTTTTATACTTGAATTATTAATGTGTGCAAGATTTTCTGCCTCATTGACTAATTGATTGCATGTTAACACTGTTCAAAATTTAGATGATGCCAGTTTAGCTGTGTTCTTTTCACTAAAACACCATACCCTGTAATCAGTTTAATAACTGTTTGTAAATTTGCATTTAACATCTAGATCAGATCAGATCACCTCTAGTGAAGTCACATCTCTTCGAGTCAGTAAAATAATCCCATCAGTCAGCTGAGTTTTCATGCCATTTTCGATCTCTGCTCAGTGCCACCATGTTAGAGGCCCTATAAAAAAGGACATGATGTGTTAAATAAAGGATGGGACATATGATGAATACAGTATTTGTAGTTTGCAAGTTTTGATTCAGGCTCTTTAAAAGTGAAAATATATCACCTCCGTTTGTTGTTAGATCCTAGTTACCTGTTAAATCCTTGAATCCTATTCTGTGCTAATTGAATGCCCAGCTGATCCTGTCATGTGGCACTTTATTTTATGATTGTACAACAGAGGCTGGGCAGTTAGAGTGATTCTCTGTAATAAAAGATATTACCTAACTTGTGGAGGTTCCTTTGGACATTTTGTTAATGCATCTGGTCCATCCATCTTCCTTCGCTTATCCGGAACCGGGTCGCGGGGGCAGCAGTCTAAGCAAAGATGCCCAGACTTCCCTCTCTCCAGACACTTCCTCTAGCTCCCCTGGGAAATGCTGAGGCGTTCCCAGGCCAGCCGAGAGACAAAGTCCCTCCAGTGTGTCCTGGGTCTTTTCTATGGGCCTCCTCTTAATGCATCTGCTATATTATATAATTTGTCATTAGAAATTGAATACATAGAAAACCACTCAGTATGTGGCCCGTAATGAAGTGGGCTTTTTGAATGAGTTCTTACTATACTATACTATACTATACTATACTATATATACACTATACAAACACAGAGGTGCTCTTACTCCAAACTCTGAAAGTGACCCAAGTCATGCCATCCTCAGAGTTGAATGTTAACCTCAGTAGGATGTACAGTGGCTTGTGGTGGGAGAAACAAGGCGCTCCACTGAGGTTGTGGTCATTGTGACCCAAATTTCCTGTAAACTCCTTTAGGGCTCTGCAGAAACAGTTGAATGAAAAGAACATTAAAATACAATACAGCTAAATAAAGACATGAATTCTGTTGGAGCACTTTCAGCCCCATTGTTTCACATCATGTGGCTCAAGGCTGTCTCATATTTGTGGTCCAGCAGAAAGCATGATTTTATTCTCTTCTCTTGTGGAAAATTATTTTTTCTTTTCCAAATTCCATTTGATTTCCTGTGAACAAAGAATCGGAGAAGTGTTTCTAATTTATGGTAGCAATGGAGAAGAAACCTCCACTTTACATTTTTGTTATTTTTAACCTTGTTTTATTTGATAAAATTGTCAGATCTCCAAAATATTTTTGGCAGCTTGTTTCCTATCGGGAGAGTTTGATTTTTCCAATCAACATACAGTGAGGTCTGTGATTCCAAAACCACTGTATTTGTACCACTTTCACCTACAGTATTGTTCAAAATAATAGCAGTACAATGTGACTAACCAGAATAATCCAGGTTTTTAGTATATTTTTTATTGCTACATGGCAAACAAGTTACCAGTAGGTGCAGTAGATTCTCAGAAAGCAAACAAGACCCAGCATTCATGATATGCACGCTCTTAAGGCTGTGCAATTGGGCAATTAGTTGAAAGGGGTGTGTTCAAAAAATAGCAGTGTGGCATTCAATCAGTGAGGTCATCAATTTTGTGAAATAACAGGTGTGAATCAGGTGGCCCCTATTTAAGGATGAAGCCAGCACTTGTTAAACATGCATTTGAAAGCCTGAGGAAAATGCGTCGTTCAAGACATTGTTCAGAAGAACAGCGTACTTTGATTAAAAAGTTGATTGGAGAGGGGAAAACCTATAAAGAGGTGCAAAAAATTATAGGCTGTTCAGCTAAAATGATCTCCAATGCCTGAAAATGGAGAGCAAAACCAGAGAGACGTGGAAGAAAACGGAAAACAACCATCAAAAGGGATCGAAGAATAACCAGAATGGCAAAGGCCCAGCCAATGATCAAAGACAGTCTGGAGTTACCTGTAAGTACTGTGACAGTTAGAAGACGTCTGTGTGAAGCTAATCTATTTTCAAGAATCCCCCGCAAAGTCCCTCTGTTAAAAAAAAGGCACGTGCAGAAGAGGTTACAATTTGCCAAAGAACACATCAACTGGCCTAAAGAGAAATGGAGGAACATTTTGTGGACTGATGAGAGTAAAATTGTTCTTTTTGGGTCCAAGGGCCACAGACAGTTTGTGAGACGACCCCCAAACTCTGAATTCAAGCCACAGTACACAGTGAAGACAGTGAAGCATGGTGGTGCAAGCATCATGATATGGGCATGTTTCTCCTACTATGGTGTTGGGCCTATTTATCGCATACCAGGGATCATGGATCAGTTTGCATATGTCAAAATACTTGAAGAGGTCATGTTGCCTTATGCTGAAGAAGACATGCCCTTGAAATGGTTGTTTCAACAAGACAATGACCCCAAACACACTAGTAAACGAGCAAAGTCTTGGTTCCAAACCAACAAAATTAATGTTATGGAGTGGCCAGCCCAATCCCCGGACCTTAATCCAATCGAGAACTTGTGGGGTGATATCAAAAATGCTGTTTCTGAAGCAAAACCAAGAAATGTAAATGAATTGTGGAATGTTGTTAAAGAATCATGGAGTGGAATAACAGCTGAAAGGTGCCACAAGTTGGTTGACTCCATGCCACACAGATGTGAAGCAGTTATAAAAAACTGTGGTCATACAACTAAATATTAGTTTAGTGATTCACAGGATTGCTAAATCCTAGAAACAAAAACGTTTGTACAAAATAGTTTTGTGTTTGTACAGTCAACGGCAGACACTGCTATTTTTTTGAACACACCCCTTTCAACTAATTGCCCAATTGCACAGCCTTAAGAGCGTGCATATCATGAATGCTGGGTCTTGTTTGCTTTCTGAGAATCTACTGCACCTACTGGTAACTTGTTTGCCATGTAGCAATAAAAAATATACTAAAAACCTGGATTATTCTGCTTAGTCACATTGTACTGCTATTATTTTAAACAATACTGTAAATAAGCACCAGTTCTAAGTGTCTTTGTGTCCTTGATTTATACAACATACTGCACTATATACAATATGTGTGTGTATGACAAGCATCTAGACAACTTCATAGGACAATTAAGACAGTAACTACATAAACATGCATAGTGAAATGCAAATACACCTCTAAATATAATGTACAACACCACCTTTACCTGTGACAGGGGTGGCCAATTCCAGTCCTTGAGGGCCGCTGTCCTGCTTGTTTTCTAACTATCCCTGCCTGACCTGCTGCTGATTACCTGGCTTAGGTGTATTCAGTCAGTCAGAAACTGGAAGATACCAATTCATTTTATCTTTCCTCACTCCACTTTCATCTAAGATGGTATCTTCCAATTGTTCTGGGCTCTTTGGTTACCATTCGCATTATCTGTCTCTTCAATTTGTCATCAATTTTCCTCTTGTGGCCACATCCAGAGAGGTTGGCTACAGTCCAGTGGACCTTAAACTTCTGAATAATATGTGCAACTGTAGTGTTGCAATCGGTTCTTTTTACCATGCTAACTCTGAGAGACGAGGCAGTCCAAGTAGCTTCAAAACAGTGCTGATTTATTCAATGAACACAGGTAAAAGTTAACATTACATGCTCAGGTATCTTGCACCTCCAACATGCACGCAGGCAGCTGAAAGATGAAAGACCCTGAACCCAACAGGCCTATACATTATATCACTTCGGGCTAACCCCATGCTACCAGGAGATGCCAAGCCATGGCGTCTCCCAGGGACAGCTCTGCAGCTGCCTCGAGCAGTAGCCAAAACATGAGGAAAAATCAATGTGTGACTGTCTGTTGATTGTGGTGTGTAACTAAAAAACATTCTAACACGACCTTTAGTGACATGTCGTGACATTAAACATAAGAAAATATTATGGCTAAGGCTACAGTTATACACGTCATAATAATAATATTAAACATTCTGTCTTCTAACAGTCATCAACTTTCTATCTAGTTATCCTTGAACATAAACAACCTGCAGTAACTCATGAGAATGACTAAGCATTTAACAGTCTAACTAGACATCCTGTCTACTCTAAACATTTCTAATACATAAAGTATCTACCCAATATCTATCTGACTAAAAATACCTAACAGTAGTCACAGGAACATCAGGCTGCTTGGAGATGGTGTTATAGTCTTTACCTTTAACATGTCTGTCTATAATTTTCTTTCTAATCTCCTGAGACAACTCTCTACTTAGCTTTCTGTGGTCCATGTTCAGTGCGGTACACACCATGATACCAAACAGCACAGTGACTACTTTACACCCTCTAAATAGACAGACTGACTGATTACAAGTTGAAAACACCTGTGATGCTAATTACAGGACACACTTTATTTTAACATGTCAAGTATGGTCAAGTTATTTTCAGCCCTTTCTAGGGGTACCATCATTTTTGTCCAGGCCAGTTTCATTATTTTGTTTTTTAAAATGGTTATGTTGAACCAGAATTCAAAAGCAATGACTGATTTTCATTAGTTAATTTTCAGTAATTTTTATTTATTATTACTTTTGTCAGTTTCACATTATTTCAGTGACCATTGTGAGTTTCTGTTTGTTTAACAGAAGGGTACCAACAATTTTGTCCATGTGAGAGAAAGAGTACTCAGACCCTTTTACTTTTTGCAAATTTTACTGTGTTGTGGATTCAGTTTTGAATGGATAAAACTGTCATTTCTACCCATAATTATACATTTAATCACCCCTGATGACAGAGTGAAACCATGATCAAAGAATTATGACAGTTAATGAAGATTTGAAACTTGAAAACTCTACTATAAAGTACTCAGACCCATTTCTGACCCAGATCCTGTCTACTCTAAACATTTCTAATACATCAAGTATCTAACTAGTATCTATCTGACTAAAAATACCTAACAAACCAAACAGGATAAATACAGACTTCAGCGAACAGTCAGGACTGCAGAAAAGGTCATTGGGGTAAGCCTGCCCTCCATGGAGGACCTGTGCACCGCACTGGGTCAAAAGGAGGGTGGAGAGGATCACTGTAGACCCCTCACACCCCAGATACAATCTGTTTGAACTCCTCCTCTCTGGAAGGCGTTACAGGTCACTGTGCACTAAGACAACCAGGCACAGGGACAGTTTCTTCCCCCAGGCTGTCACCC